TGGGTTTTATATATATATAAAAAAAAATCATATATATATATATATATATATATATATATTATAATGCATTATAACTATAAAATTACAATACTAATATTTAGGGCCGTCTTCATTTCTTCATTTTCAAATGTTAAAACATCAGACTTTTATTTTGACGGAAAACCACAACGCTTCTCTTTTGTTGATAAGTGCTTCTCATTCCAAGTATGGGAAGATGGTTAGTGCATGTTGTGTTTCCAAATGCACATTAATGCGACCCAAATTAATCATGCAGCCCTAGCAGTAGGCATATATATGTATATGTATTTTGGAAATGCTGTCAAATTGACCCCAATTGGTTTTCTTTTGGCCAAAAAACAACACTTTAAAAAACAGCAAAGAGTCAGGTAAAAAAAAAAAAACTTTTATTGTAGCTAAAAATTATACAATATTTGAGAACTTTTTGAGAACATTTATTTTGACTTTCAAAAATAAAATAAAAAAAGTGTGAAAGGAATACTTTTTAACAGACTAAAAATTGAGCTCCAAAACAAGTTCATTTACTAATCTGTTACAGCAATAAAAAGAAGTGTGAGAAACCCATAACAAAAAGGCGAAGGCTATTTAGTGTGTAAATAGTCTCTACAAGTAGTCATAACAATATTGTAATATATAATATAATAACAATTTTGTACAAAAATATGTGGGCCAAATTGACCCCTAACACAAAGTGAGGACCTGTTAGGAGTTCATCATTTCTCTTTATATATATATACCGTCTTCATTTCTTCATTTTCAAATGTTAAAACATCAGACTTTTATTTTGACGGAAAACCACAACGCTTCTCTTTTGTTGATAAGTGCTTCTCATTCCAAGTATGGGAAGATGGTTAGTGCATGTTGTGTTTCCAAATGCACATTAATGCGACCCAAATTAATCATGCAGCCCTAGCAGTAGGCTTAAAACAATGCAGATTGCTGTAGTAATGTTATAATTCAGTTTGCATGTGATCCTGCTGTTCTCCTTCAGGTATCGGCTCCACGTATTTCCATGCGACGCTGAGCTTCCTGGGGCAGATGCTGGACGAGCTGGCCATACTGTGGGTGCTCATGTGTGCCATCGGCATGTGGTTTCCCAAGAGATACCTGCCCAAGATGTTCCGCAGAGACAGGTGTGCTCACATATCCACACTGGGAAAAAAAACAAAAAAAGTTGACCTAACTCAAAAAAAATAAATAAGGCACCCTATTGCACTCAACTTAAGTTAACTAAACTAGCAGCCGACAACTTAAAAACTGTAGTATATCTAATGATTAATAGTCAGTCTATTGAATTTTAAAAGATCTGTCAGATCAACTAAAGATTATTTAGCATTTATCAATGCTAATCCTCTTTAGCAATCCTCTTTCTTTTAGCTTTGTTTATTTTCAAAGCATTATCTGCCTCTTAAAACTAAAGGCAGACATTTATGCTGGTAGACAAATGTTTTAAATCCAGAAGTTGCAATGAGATGCACGTATACCTCAGCACACGATTCTCAAACATGGTGAGGATCAACAAATGTTAAATCAGTGAAAATATGAACTCTGATCCATATGACAGCTAACTGGCAGCGACAACAGCAGCAGCTGCATACATTAAAGGGATAGTTCACCCAAAAAAGAAAATGTGATGTTTATCTGCTTACCCCCAGGGCATCCAAGATGTAGGTGACTTTGTTTCTTCAGTAGAACACAAACGAAGATTTTTAACTCAAACCGTTGCAGTCTGTCAGTCGTATAATGGAAGTGAATGGGAATCACGGCTTTGAGAGTCAAAAAAACATACACAAACAAAACCAAATTAAACCCTGCGGCTTGTGACGATACATTGATGTGTAAAGACACGAAACGATCAGTCTGTGCAAGAAACTGAACAGTATTTATATCGTTTTTTTTACCTCTGATTTTCACTGCAATGTCCAACATCCAGTGTTTCTATGGGGCGCGGGAATCTACGTATATTATCTATGTCTACTATGCCAGAGCACATACACGCGTCACGCACTGGATGTTGGATATTGCAGTGAATATCAGAGGTAAAAAACGATATAAATACTGTTCAGTTTCGTTCGTTTCGTGTCTTTACACATCAGTGTATCGTCACGAGCCGCAGGGTTTAATTTGGTTTTGTTTGTGTATGTTTTTTTGACTCTCAAAGCCGTGATTCCCATTCACTTCCATTATATGACTGACAGGCTGCAAAGGTTTGAGTTAAAAATCTTCATTTGTGTTCTACTGAAGAAACAAAGTCACCTACATCTTGGATGCCCTGGGGGTAAGCAGATAAACATCACATTTTCTTTTTTGGGTGAACTATCCCTTTAAGCCAGTAAAATGTAAAACAATGATAATATTTTAATATAACAAACATTAACATAAAATGTTTTCAAGCTGCAATGCATGCTGGGAACTTGTGCAGTATTGTTCAATGAAAAATTGTTTGTTCAGATGACTCAATTTGGAAAGTTGGGAGAACATTTGGACACGTTGTATGTATCTGAGGAAGGTAAACAAAACCACTTTTGCTAGCGACATTTTTAGATTATTTTTGTTCGGTTCACACAAAATAATAAACTTTCTTCTCTAACTAAAAATTCTTTGTTCAGGCTACTTTGTTACATTTGTTAGTAGAACTTTTCCAAAGTTGTTTTTTTTTTACACAAGTCACGTCACGGTTCGGTATGGCTTCGGTACAGAAAAATATTTTATATTAAACAGTGGTTTACTGAACAAATTGCTCTTTCTTTAAATGAATTTAATTACAATTAAAATTTTCTTAGGGATAAAAATCTACCTCTAAACTACAGGGAGCCCTTTTACATCACTATAAGGTTACAATTAACAACAGAGCCCAAACTTAAATTCAACTACTATTTATTTTTATATAATAATCAACACTCAACTTAAAAAAAAAAAAAAAAAATGTATGCAAACATATAAATTGCACATAATGCAGTTTTTAAATTAACTTCTAATTTATAAAAAATTCTATTTATTGTCAAAATATATTCATTCACACAGTGGCTGTCATAACTTGTTTCATAACAGATTTATTATTAACATACGTTAAATAACTAGGCTAAGACATCACTAACAGATAAAGTAAGATATAATGAATATATTAGTCTAATATTTTGATAAATGCTCTTCCATAGACTTCATTTCGAGCTAACGAGCTGTGGACACTGATGACTTGCCTAAGGTAAATGTAATGCCACATGACATTTTGTTTACAAGCCATTTTATTGACGTCTTTCCGCGGTTGAAACACAGATTGTGCGATTACATGAGGCATGAGATGTTCGTTCATGTTTATTTCACGTTAAAACTACTGTAGTATTAAAGAGGAAGGGATGCTCGCCAGAACTGAGGCGTTTATACAGCGACATGTCATGCTACTTTTTTTACACGCTACGCATTTATTGTTTGAATTTCCTGATAAAATGCACAGAATTTGAAAGATGAGACTTTGTTTCTTATCAAAAGTGACGATATACTGTATAAAACTGGAATTTTCCAATGAAGTTCCACTGGTGCAGTGGTTAAACCAACGCTCCATTTGTATTTGTATTTCGCTAGATCGAGGTTCAAAATGGTCATCGGCGTCCTCTCAGGGATCACCACCTGTCTGGCCTTCATCAAGCCAGCGATAAACTCCATCTCTCTCATGACGCTGGGCATCCCGTGCACCGCTCTTCTCGTCACGGAGCTAAAGAGGTCAGAGCTCGTGTACAAGCACATGCCCCTGTAATCTAAATTTAATGCAATGTATAGGAAATCCCATGGTGTCCAACCTCAAAGTAGAGCTAAGTAAAACTAGCTGTGCCTAAAGTTAACTTATCTCTCATGTTTTGTGTGGCTTGATGAGGAGAGGTGTACTTTTAAAAAGAGTGCTTATTATGGAAATAATATACTTTAAAAGAATATACTCAAGTGCAAACTGAATGTAATGTTTTCAGACACTTAAATACAGTTCAATGAAATGTAGTATAGTTTAAGTTCACGTTACATGCAATTAGCTGAACATTAGAGTGCTTTTTGACCCACTTAAGTAGGATTTTATATGTAACTGTCTTTGAAATATGGTTAAAGTGCTGCTGAATGCACTGATAAGCATTTGTGGTGAACTAAAACATGCTTTAATTGTATGTCATGTATTTATATATATTTGTAATGATCAAGTTGCAATTTTGTACATTTAAAACTTACATTTAACAATTTGTACATTTAAAAATTAATTTTAAACAGTGTCAAAAACACACTACAGTTAAAATTATAATCAAGTACTTTATGTGCTTTAGTATGTTAGTCAACACATCAAAATAATTGCACTTCTTTAAAAGTATTACAAAAGATTATTAAAATATAATGATTTAAATGTACTTAAATGTAAAGTAAAATTTGGTAACACTATTTTAAGGTGTCTTTGTCACACGTCACATGTTCTTACTATTATAATAACAATAAATGATGCATAATTACATGCAAGTAACCCTAAGCCAAACCCTAATCCTAGTAAGTGCATGTAGTTAATTAATATTACTCAGTACTTAAATGTATAATTACACTGTAACAAGGACACCTTAAAATAAAGTAACCTAAAATTAAATTTGACATTATTACAAAGTGCACTTTTTAAAAGTGTATTTAAAACGTGTTAAGAAACAGTCACGAAAGCGTCACTTAAGTGGCCTTTTATTTCATTAATATTGTATTATCTACAAGTACAGTTTGTGTACAGGAAGTACACATAGTTTCAAACTGTCAATTAAACTTACGGCATTTACTGATGGATAAGTATGATTCATTTTTAATTTTATGTTTAATTTTTGTTCATCTCTTTACATTTATTTGTGGATCATAATCTATTTATTTGGAATTAAGCAACAATTCTACCCCCATAGATAAGCCTTTCTCTCAAGAAACTCTTGTAGGTAGTTTTAAGACGAGTAAAGTAAACTAAGCAGACAGTGTGTTCGTCCTGAAACATAATTCTCATACTTTCTGTGCTCAGTGAGAGTCAGTGTGACGTTTGTTCGTCAGCACACGTGCTTGAAATCCCATGAACTGTGCTTAGAGTTCATTTGTTTGCTCTGTAGAGGAAGAAGCGGGCTGTGGTTTTCCTGATAGCGCGTCTCTCTGCGTTCAGTCCAGTTGGATGAGCTTTATCTTACAGCAAACCATGTGTGTTTGTAGTTTGAGTTTGTTGTTTGATTATTTACAGTGGATCACTGTGTGCTTAGTAAGAACTAACTCGGACTAACACGTGACTAACAACTCTGAGCACAGAGTTAAACTTATCGCTGTTTACAGGAAGTGAAACGGTGCGTGTGTGTGTGTGTGTGTGTGTGTATGTATGTATATGTATATATTTGGCCCTGGACCACAAAACCAGTCTTAAGTGTCAATTTTTTGAAATTGAGATTTATACACCATCTGAAAGCTGAATAAATAAGCTTTCCATTGATGTATGGTTTGTTAGGATCGAGACGATATTTGGCTGAGATACAACTATATGAAAATTTGAGGGTGCAAAAAAATCTAAATATTGAGAAAATCACCTTTAAAGTTGTCCAAATGAAGTTCTTAGCCATTGTAAGAATCTATAGTCTGCCCCGACCCAGATTCCACTCCACAATATATGTTTGATCATGCTCATTTCCCAAAATGGCTTAATTATTATAGAGAAGAAGAAAGTCAACAGTTATGTTGTTTGTAGATCATTTGGGATGATCACATCATGAGCAAATGGTGACCACTTGTAGAATGGGAGCAGGTGTGGGACACCTCAGACAAAGGGGTGTCAGAACTTAATTAACATACAGACCACAGCTGTTACAACAGGAGCAACTTCATTTACATTAAGGGTAGTAAACTGTAACTGTATAAAAGGTTTGAGTTTAGGATATTCTGGGTTCATTCCGACTTCATCGTCCTCATCACTTTTTCTTACACCATGCATATTACTAATCAAAAATTAAGTGTTGATATATTTACGGTAGGAAATTTACAAAATATCTTCATGGAACATGATCTTTACTTTATATCCTAATGATTTTTGGCATAAAAGAAAAATGGATAATTTTGACCCATACAGTGTATTTTTGGCTATTGCTACAAATATACCCCAGCGACTTAAGAGTGCTTTTGTGCTCCAGGGTCACATACACTCACCGGCCACTTTATTAGGTACATCTGTTCAATTGCTTGGTAACACAAATTGCTAATCAGCCAATCACATGGCAGCAACTCAATGCATTTAGGCATCTAGATGTGGTGAAGACGAGAAGACCACACCGGGTGCCGCTCCTGTCAGAATCGTGACTAACATCTCTCTCGAATGGAACAACATCGTTTACAGTTATTTCATGTCAAGCTGACAGTCTGTTGGACGTCTATCCAGTGCTAAATCACATGAACTAGAGATAATCATAAGTGCAATCACTTATAAAAGTAGCAGCTGCGGTACACAATCTCTCCTCAACAAGCCGTGCCGTGTGATGTTATGCATGTTATTTTAGCATTATAGCATTGATATCAGGATTATTATAGCTAACTAAAAATGAAATTAAAGGCATAAAACATTTTTGTTACTTGAAATAAAATAAATGTTAACTGAAACATTTCTAATTTTAATTTAGATTAACGTGATGTACTCAATTAACTAAAACTGAAGTAAAAATTAATAAAAACTGTGTAGACATGTATATAAAAAAAATAAAATGACTAAAAATGACAAAAACAAAACAAATAACTAAAACTTCAGCTAAAATGAAAGTGGAAAATATCAAAATAAAAAAAGATTCAAAATATTAATACAAATTTTCATAGTATTTCAATGATAAAGTAACATATTTTTTTAATCTTTTTATTTCTATATTTTCGGTTTTCATTATAATTTTAGTTAAAGTTTTAGTCATTTTGTTGTGTTTTTGTCAGTTTCATTCTTTTATTAATGTCATGGTTTTTTATTCATTTTTATTTTTTAAGTTGTAGTTATCATGTATTTAGTTATTTATTATTTAGTTATTAGAACTGCATTTAATTGTTAAACTAAATAAAAATGAGCAATGTTGGTTTGGCAGTTAGCTGGAATTAAATAAAATATAAATAAACAAACTTTTATTTCAGTTAACTTTATATTTTATTTCAATTTTATTTTTATTTTTTTAATTATTATTATTATTATTTTTATTTAATTTTTTTATTTTACACGTCATGAGTTGTGTGTGTGTGTGTGTGTAGGTGTGATAACCTGCGTGTGTTTAAGCTGGGTCTGCTCTCGGGTCTGTGGTGGACTCTGGCGCTCGTGTGTTGGATCAGTGATCGCATTTTCTGTGAGATGTGGTCATCCGTCAACTTCCCGTATCTACACTGTGCCTGGTAATCAAGTGCACTCAACATACAGCATCTAGTGAACACATTGCTTTTAATACAATACCCACTCAATGTACTTCTACTACTGGGCAGGTTTCCCAAACTGGGGTTCGTGAGCTAATAATTAACGAAATCGCTAAAATTAAAAATAATTTGAGAATTTTCAACACAAAAACATGAAGACATTAAAGTAAAAGAGTGAAAAAAGGATATTTTATTTGTTTACCTGCATTTCATGTGACCACTAAAACTAAAGTACAACTAAAACTAAAACCATAAAAACATTTCCGTTGCTTGAAATAAAATGTGAACTAAAATACAGTAAAATATTTTAATCAAAATTATTCCAGCATTTCTCATTTTTGTTTAGTTTAACTTTAAGTACTATAATAACTAAAACCAATAAATAACAATTATATAGAAATGTATAAAATAATAAAAATGAGACAAACTCACAACAAAATTCCTAAAACTTTAACTAAAATGAAAGAGAAAACAGACAATATCAAAATAAAATCGAATTCAAAATATTAACAAAAACTAGTATATCAGTGATACTAAAATAACATTAACTGTGAATGTGACCGTAAAGTATTGAAATCTTAACTTAAAATTGCAGGGGTACATTGAAGTATTTTATATTTTTAGTAAAGTATATATTTTATGGGATTCGGCTCAAAAGACGTTTGTAAGTTATTACAGTTACTAATCCGGTTGAATCTGAAAGCACTTTTAATAAAACTTTAATACCAGTCCATGTTTTCTTCATCCCGAAGTACTTTTTTTTCAATTATTGTAAAAAAAAAAATTCCACATTGAAATTGATAATTTGCCAAAAAATGGAAATTCTGAAAGCGTAAACATTAAATTAGAAACACTGTGGCTCATATTACTGTACAAAGTTTCTCTCTGTTCACATTTGTGGGCTAATATCCATTGCAGAAATGTCAATAATTGCTTGTTTTGTGATTATTGTGATATTATTTGCTCTACATGTTCCTCTTTATCCGTGTGTTCAGGCATATCCTCATCTGCCTGGCGTCTTATCTGGGATGTGTGTGCTTCGCTTATTTTGACGCGGCGTCAGAGGCTCCAGAGCAGGGGCCCGTCGTCAGATTCTGGCCCAGCGAGAAATGGGCTTTTATCGGGGTGCCGTACGTCACTCTTCTGTGTGTGCACAGGAAGCCCTCTATTAAGGTGACTTAAGCTGTGCTTGCTAAGGTGTCCGACTACACTTCAGTGCACTTTGTAATAGACTTTCACATGAAGGAGAATCCTGGTTTTGCATTTGGGGAGGGATGACGGTCAGTCAGTGTTATTTAGTATCCTAACAGCACAAAATCAGCTTTCGGTTTACTTTGGGGGGAAAAAATGTGTGATGCAGGATTTCATGGTACAACGTTACATGGTGTTTCATATAATAAAGATTTTTATGTTTTTGAAAGAAGTCTCTTCTGCTCAACAAAGCTGCATTTATTTAATCAAAAATGCAGTAAAAACAGCAATATTGTGAAATATTATTGCTTAAAATTTGTGTGTAAACCATGATGCACTGCCATTCAGAAATTTAGGGTAATTAAAAAAAAATAAAGAAATGAATACTTTTATTGAGCAAGGATGCGTTATATATAATATGTTACAAAATATTTCAAATAAATGCTGTTCTTGTGAACTTTCTATTTATCTAAAAAAAAAAATCCAGAATAATAACTGATAATTAACTGAGCAGCAAATCAGCATATTATACTGATTTCTGAAGATCACGTGACACTGAAGACTGCAGTAATGATGCTGGAAATTCAGCTTTGATCACAGAAATAAATTACATTTGACAATATATTAAAGTAGAGAACAGTTATATTAAATTGTAATAATATTTACTGTAAATCTGATCAAGAGTAAGAGACTCAGTGAGCATAAGAGACTTCTGTCAAAAACATTAAAAAAGTTCTAAGCGGTAGTTCACATATTAAAATAAAAAAAGGAAGGGGACATTTAAAAGCAATTGAGCCTGAAATCAAATATGAGGATAATGTTTATTTGTGCATTCAAATGAATCTGCACCTGTAACGAGGCAGCTCAGCCACAGATGAGCGTTATATGACTGTTAACACAAAGCATGGTATTTCACAGTAGTACTACTAGTTGCCTTTTTTTTACAATGTATACATTTAAAATGAAAAGCTGCACCAAGTGATTTTTCATTGTTTGACTGGCTAACGTAAGAAAGGTGTTGGACTTTATACTGACACCTGTTGGTGTGAACGCAGCTTTACACAAAAGGAAAGGTTTTCACTGTTCGCATGCATTTATTCCATAACATTCATTTAGCAATTAATTAATTTCGATATGGAGGATCTCATGTGAAGGTACATCATTTGAAGTACTATTGATTTATTTTAAGTTTTAGGACACACAGTCATCTCCACCGTCAGGGAAAAACATTGAGGTTATTACCTCTATACTGAGTTATGATGTCTATATTTAACGCAGCATAAACTGGATTCTAGATATTCTGAACTATGTTGCACTACTGTGACATGAATGCAGTGTATTTGACTGATTTTAAAACACTGCATGACAATAGTTTGCTGATCTGAATGTACAGGAAATCTCCCTTGAGAAAGAAAGTTTGTCCTTGCTTTTCTGAATGTCTTCACACAAAAAACAATGTTTATATCTATATATAGCCTAATGCTTTCTCAATTCTTTCCTTTATTTTTACACTTTAAAGGATTTTTGCAGTTTGTATCTTCACTTGTCAAAGAACAGATTGCCGTTGATCATTTGATCATTGCAAAACAGAACAATGATTTATCCAAATACCAAAAACCTTGTGTATAGTATGCAATAAAAGCACAGATTCAGCTGTGGTTTGTACACCAATGACACATTCATGCTGCTTTCTTCCTATGCCACAAAATTGCATCAGTATTTCAAAGAGAAACTGAACATCACCTGAGTTTCTTAATGCTTCGCCACTCATCCAGAGCTGTATTTTTCTAAAGCAGTTTGATTTTGTATTTTTGTGTAACTTTCTGCTCATGCAATGCACAATATGTACTGTAAGCCAATGCAATGGCTATAAGATATGTGTGAGAGAGAGAATGTGTGTGTGAGAGAGAGAGAGAGAGAGAGAGAGAGAGAGAGAGAGAGAGAGAGTGAGTGAGAGAGAGAGAGAGA